TGTGAAGCCATGCTGTGGCAGGCGTCCCACATATAAAGTAGAGGGAGATGGGCATGGATGTTAGCTCAGGGCCACTCTTCCTCAGAAAAAAGAGGAGGATTGGCAGCAGATGTTAACTCAGAGCTAACCTTCCAAAAAAAAATAAATTCCCTATAAGTACTATTTTCACTGTATCCCATAAGTTTTGATAAGTTGTATTTTCATTTTCATTCAATTTAAAACATTTTTAAGTTTCTATTCAGATTTCTTCTTTGACTCATGTGTCATTTGGAAATGTGTTATTTAATCTCCAAATATTTTAGGAATTTCCAGCCACCTTTCTGTTACTGATTTCTAGTTTAATTTCACTGTGGTCTGTGAGCAGACATTGTATGACTTTTATTCTTTAAAATTTGTCAAAGTGTGTTTTATGGTCCAGAATGTGGTCTATCTTGGTGAACGTTCATGTGAGCTTGAGAAGACTGTGTTTTCGGTTGTTGTCAGATGAAGTAGTCTAGAGATGTCAAGTATATTCAGTTGATTGATGGTGCTGTTAAGTTCGACTACGTCCTTACTGATTTTTTGCCTTCTAGATCTGTCCATTTCTGATAAAGGGGGGTTGAAGTATCCAACTATAATAGTGGACTCATCTATTTCTCCTGTGAGTCTATCAGTTTTTGCCTTGTGTATTTTGATGCTCTTGGTAGGTATATAAACATTAAGAATTGTTATATCTTCTTGCAGAATTGACCCCTTTATCATTGTGTAATGCCTCTCTTTATCTCTGATAATTTTCCTTCTCCTGAAGTCTGCTCTGTCTGAAATTAATAAAACTACTGCTGCTTTCTTTTGATTAGTGTTAGTATGATATATCTCCATCCCTTTATTTTTAATCTATATGTGTCTTTATATTTAAAGCAGGTTTCTTGTAGATAACATACAGCTGGGTATTGTTTTTTATCCACCCTGACAATCTCTGTCTTTTAATCTGTGTATTTTATACCATTGATGTTTAAAGTGATTATTGATCTAGTTGGATTAATATCTACCAGATTTATTACTGTCTTCTATTTGTTGCCCTTGTTCTTTGTTCCTATTTTTGTCTTTCACATATTTCCCCTCTTTTCCTAGCATGTAAGTTATACTTCTTTTTTCACTGTTTTTAGTGGTTGCTCTAGAGTTTGCACTATATATTTTATAGCTAATCCAAGTTGACTTTCAAATAATACTATACCACTCAGCAGTAGTGCAAACACCCTATAATAATTAAAATTCCTAATTCCTCCCTCTCATCTTTTCTATTATTGCTGTTATTCAATTCACTTATACTCAAATATATGTGTATATATTTGAACATATTATTTCTATTATTACTTTGAAACAAGTATTATCTAACGATCAAATAAGAATAACAGAAATAAAAGTTTTAATTTTACCTTCATTTATTCCTTCTCTGATTCCCTTCTTCATGTAGATCTGCGTTTCTGACATATGCAGCTTTCCTTCTCTCCAAAGGATTTATTTTAACATTTCTCACAAAGCAGGTCCACTGGAAAAAATTCCCTCAATTTTTGTTTGTCTGAGAAAGTCTTTATTTCTCCTTCACTTTTGAAGGATACTTTCACAGAGCACAGAATTCTAAGTTGGTGGTTTTTTCTCTCAAATAAAAATATTTCACTCTACTCTCTTCGTACCTTCATGGTTTCTGAGTAAGAGTCATATATAATTCTTATCTTTGCCCCTCTATAGGAAAGAGGTTTTTTCCCTCTGGCTTCTTTCAGGAATTTTTCCTTGATTTTCTTTAAATATGATATGCCTAGCTGTAACGTATTGGGCATTTATCCTGTTTGGTCTTCTGTGAGCTTCCTGGATCTGTGGTTTGATGTCTGACATTAATTCAGGGAAATTCTAGTCACTATTGTTTTAATTATTGCTTCTCTTCTTTTTTCTCTTTCTTTTCTTTCTGGTATTCCCATTAAGCATATATTAAACCTTCTATAAAAATCCAAGTTTTTGGATATTCTGTTCTGATTTTTTTCAGTTTTTTTTCTCTTTGATTCCAGTTTTGGAAGTTTCTATTGTTATATCCTTAAGCTCAGAGATTCTTTCCTCATCTGTGTCTAGTCTACTAATGAGCCCATCAAAAATATTCTTTCTGTTACAGTGTTTTTGATCTCTAGCATTTTAATTTTTATTCTGTCTTAGAATTTCCATCTCTTTGCTTACATTATCCATCTGTTCTTGCATGCTGTCTACCTTTTCCATTAAAGTCCTTAGCATATTAATCATAGTTTAAAAAAATTCCTGATCTGAAAATTCCAACATTCTTGCCATATATATCTCTGGTTCTGAAGTTTGTTCAGTCTCTTCACGCTATGTTTTTTACTTTTTACTATGCCTTGTAAATTATTGTGGAAAAGTGGACATGTTGCACCGGGTAAAAGGAACTGTGGTGAATAGGCCTTTAGTAATGTGATGGAGAGTTGAGCGGGGAGGGGAAGCACTCTACTGTCCTATGACTTGGTCTCAGTCTTTTGGGGAGCCTGTGCCCTTGGACTGTGAACTTCAACAGTGCTTCTAAGTTTCTCTCCCCCTTATGTGGGAGAGGAGGCCTAGAGGGAGCTGGAGTTGGGCATTTCCCTCCCCCAGGTAGGTTAGGCTCTGATAAAAACCCAGCAGGTCAGGTTCTAGTAAAATAGTTTCTCCTGAGGGCAGGTCTTGTTAAGAACAGAATGCTCTGGCCTATTTCAAAATGGTTTCCTTTCCCCTCTCTCTGCTAGAAGCACGAGGGGATCTTTCTCCAGTATTCACTGTGAGGAGCTGGTAGAGCTCCAGGCGGTAAAACTCACAAAAGTGTGGAGGCCTCCGTATAACTGGGTTCTTCTGAAGTTTTTAATTCTCGGACTTGTCCTTACTGAGCTTCCAGCAATTCATCAATTACAGTTAGGTTTTCCTAACCTATGACTGGTTCCCATGGAGGTTTCTGCTGGTGGGTTTCTACTCCAGTAAGTTGTGATTCTCTATATCTGTCTGTCTCTCCAATTTTGGGGGCAGTGGTTTGCCTTGTGACCTTCCTTGCCTCTCTGAGTGATTTAAGAAGAGTTGTCAATTTTTAAGTTTGTTCAGCTTTTACTTGTTGTCAGAACAGAGTGGCAACTTCTAAGTTCCTTACATGCTGGACAAGAACCACCCACTATCTTCTTTTTACATAGAAACCATAGGTACAAAGACATTTAGTAATCTGATCAAGGCCCCCCAGCTAGTATCTGGCAGAGCCAGAACTTGAATTGAGATGTTCTGGCTCAAGAATCTGTCCTCTTAACCACCATACCATTGAGGAAAACAAGCTAGTTGAGCTATTGGGGGAAGGAGGAATATGTTTTCTTACCATGAGATCTTTCATGTCTACTAAGTTTACATTTTTGGAAAATTTTCTAAAAGAATTAAAGGAACATCTGCCAGAACGGTTGGTTTGAAAATAGTGATTACTAAAACTTGAAGTAGATACTACAAGTAAACATTTTAGGGTAAAAGAAAAAAATCACTCCTAAACCTACCATTTTTACAGGTTACATTTCAGTGCTTGTCCATCTTCGTGAATATTATATGTGGGTATTATGTATTCAGTGTTTTCACTTAACATTCTATCATGGGAATTTCCCCATGTTTCTGTAATTCTTTATAAGTGACCTTTAATGGTTGAATAATATTCTACCTTGGTGATGTGCTATAATTTACAAAAGCATTCTCTTATTGTTTGATGTTTGATAATTGATATTTGTCTGTACAATGATAGATAATGTTCCACAACTGCTTTCCTTCCATTGAGTGATTTCATTCAGGATAGCCCCAGCATGTGATTACTGGGTCAATGGGTATGGATAGATGTATAACTATTGCTGTATTAGTTTCCAGAAGAGTTACACCAATTTTCTGGGCTTCCAGCATTGTATAATTATAGAAAATATAATTACATAAAAATATTATATATACATGCATGAAAACCTCTTAGATGTAAGTGCAAGGACAACACCAGGAGACTCTGAAATATGGACTGATGCATGACTTCTTTTCAGATGTTCAGTTTATGTTACATGTTGCCTTGCATACAGGAGACATTCCATAGATATTTATTGAATGGATGGATGATGGAGGGATGGATGACATCCAACTGATTCCTACTAATTAACACACAGAAAGTTAGTGGCAAAGTTGAGATGATATTTTGATTTATAATATAGAGCTCTTTCACCTACCATAACTGCAGTTTTACTTCACTCAGCCAACATTCACTATATACGTAGTATGTGCACAGCAAAGTTTGGAAGCTGGCGGTACTACTATTAATAAATCATACTTCCATTCATCATGGACCTCATAGTTTGGGAAACTCACATATCTTTCTGGATCAAGTTCTCATTTATAAAATGAATATAGTGACCACAGAAATCTCTTCCAACTCCTGGATTCTGTGATCTTCTGAAACTCTAAATTTCCCATTTCTAGACACTAAGACTCTAGAGGAAGCTTATTTTAAAGAGCATTTTAAAGGAATTGGTGATTCAGGATAATAATAGGGAATTTTCTTTTTTCTCCTCCTCATTCATTCATTCATTCATCATTTATCATTCATTGAACACATGCTAAACACCAAACATTTTTAAGTGCTAGGAATAAAAATAGGAATAAGTCCTCTTCTCTTAAAAAGTCTACAGTCCAAAATGGGAAGGCTTTTTGAAGAGGAATAGTTTGGCAATACAACAGTACTGTACACAGTGTTTATGTGTATGTGAAAGTGATGTGTTTACTCAACTATTCTAGCCAAAACTTAAATGGAGTGGTCTCCAGTATAAAGTAGAGGAGGGAATCAGCTAATATTGATTGATTCAAGCTTACCCTCTAAATGTTCCCAAAAGTTGATGGAAAATATCATTGAATCTTGTAGGTTTATCATGGGGAAAAATACTTGTAGCATACTTTCCAACATCAAGACGAAAGAGGACATATGAATGTGGACTCACCATTTCTCTTCTTCTACTTGCACTCCTACGGACTGGAACTTACTGGGTGTTTTATTTTCCCCCGTTTTGTCAGGTTCTTCAGCATCATCCACCTGAAGAAATAATTTAAAAAGTAGAAGTGCTCCATGTTAGTCATCTCACTTGAAAACCAAATACCACATTTTGTTAGAAACATCTGTAGTATTACTGGAAGGTTTTGTGATTTGTAACCTTTTCATTCAATATTTGTGTATTTGCCAAGAGCCATTACTCCATTATTAGTGTGCTCTTTGACTCTGTTCATCTTTGTAAAATGCAATTTCGTTCACTGTCTATGATTCCTCTATAGAATTGTGAGCATATACTTACCTGTGAGCACTGTGTTAGAAGAGAGCACTACATGGAAATGTGTTCTTGGAAGTTTTGAATTTGCAGATAACAAGATACAAAAGAAGGAAGAAAATTCATTTACTGTAGTTAGAATTGTTGATATTGGGAGATAGAGGTATTAACTTTATTAAAATAAACCATAGAGGAGGGGGCGGGACCAAGATGGCAGAGTGAGTAGTCTTCTTTGTCTCTCCTCCTTCGAATCTACAACTAATTGGACATTCACTGGTTAACAAAGGATATCCAGATAGCATCTCAAGACGCCTGAGAGACCCGTGCTGCTATACATCGGAAGGCGGGCGGACTTCCCCCCGGGAGGAGGTGGAGATAGGTGAAAACTCTCCGACCCCGACCCCCAGACAGCCTAGTACCTGCAACAGGCTCTCTTCCAGTGGACTCCCCCATAGCATCGCCACACACCAAGGGCGGGAGTGTGCACTCACTGGCGTAGCGACGGTGGAAATAGGTGACAACAGCCCTACCTAAGCCCCCTGCGATTACACCTAAGCCCAGGGGGAAACTCCACGGTCCCGCACCCGCCGGCAGGGAAAGCTTCTGCTTGCCATTAGCAGGGAGGCCCCGTCTAGCATTCAAAACACTGGGAAGCTCCCAGGGAGTGGATTCCCCAGCAGGGCACCAGCCCACCAGCCGCTGCCAGGCTCACGGACTCTGGTTATGCACGGGACAGTGCAAGAGGTGCCCAGAGTTCCCGTGGACATGCTTGGGGGCTGGGTAGAGCTCCAGCATCCGGCTCCGCGGCCCAGGGGGAAACTCCAGGGTCCCACACCCACCAGCAGGGAAGGCCTCTGCTCGCCATTAGCAGAGAGGCCCTTCCTGGCATTCAGAACACCAGGAAGCGCCCAAAGAGTAGAATCCCTGGCAGGGCAGCAGCCCACCAGCTGCTGCCAGGCCCACAGTCTTCGGCTGTGCCCAGGACGGTGCAAGAGGTGCCCAGAGTTCCCATGGGCATGCTTGGGGGCTGGGTGGAGCTCCAGCACCTGGCTCTGAGGCCCAGGGGGAAACTCCAGGGTCCCGCACCACTGGCAAGGAAAGCCTCTAGTCACCATTAGCAGAGAGGCCCTGCCCAGCATTGAGAACACCGGGAAGCTCCCAAAGAGCAGAATTCCCCACAAGGCAGCAGCCCGCCAGCTGCCGCCGGGCCCAGAGACTCTGGCCGTGTCCCAGACAGGGCAAGGGGCTCCCAGAGATTCTGTGGGAGTGGTTTGGGGTTGGGTGGAGCTCCAGTGGAATGGCTATGTGGCTCAGGGGGGAACTCCAGGTTCCCACAGCAGCCTCAGCAAAAGCCTCTGCACAGCACTAGTGGAGAGGTCCTGACCAGCAATCACAAGGCTGGAAGGCCCTGGGGCAAAAGTAGCACAACTAGATGAGCTAACCACGGACTGCAGAAGATACCCATAGCTCTACTGGGACCTATAGTGGACAAGTGTGATCTTGTGGGCTCTGTCAGTGACAGAGCTGCGATTACAGGTGATCCTGCTCCCGGCTGCTGGGAAACCCCATAACACCACTGCAGACCCCAAGGAGGGAGTGCGTCTAGGTGGTCTGCAACAGTAGGCACCAGCAGCCTGAGGCCCCCTTGCGATTGCCCCCACAACTGACAAGGGACCCCACAGGACCACTGTGACTACGAGGAGGGGCCCAGGTCCAGTCAGTAACAGCTGACAGGGTTCCTGGTTGGTGCAGTCTAAACAGCTGCTCCCCCCCACACCAGTTGCAACAAGTGGACTAAACTCCTAGTGACTAAACTCTATCTCTAGGCAGAGGCATAAATCCACGCCATTAAGCAGTATGAAAAAATATATTAAATCCCCAGAACAGAAGGAAAATGATAAGTACCCAGAAAACAATCCCAAAGACAATGAAATCGATAACCTAAATGACGATGATTTCAAAACAGCCATTATTAAAAAACTCGATGAGTTAAAAGAGAATTCAGATAGACAACTCAATGAGTTCAGGAGCTATGTCACAAAAGAGCTTGATACTATAAAGAAGAACCAATCAGAAATACTGGAGATGAAGAACACAGTGGAGGAGATTATGAAAAATCTGGACTCTCTGAACAATAGGGTTGATGATATGGAGGACAGAATTAGCAATTTGGAGGATAGGAATATAGAAATGCTGCAGTCAGAGGAGGAGAGAGAACTAAGACTAAAAAGAAATGAAGAAACTCTCCGAGAATTATCTGACTCAATTAGGAGATGCAACATAAGGATTATAGGTATACCAGAGGGAGAAGAGAAGGAGAAGGGGGCAGAAGGCCTGTTCAAAGAAATAATGGCTGAGAACTTTCCAAACTTGGGAAGAGAGATGGAACTTCATGTGACAGAAGACAATAGATCTCCAAACTTTATCAATGTAAGAAGACCAACCCCAAGACATGTAGTAGTAAAGCTAGCAAAAGTCAATGACAAAGAGAAAATACTAAGGGCAGCCAGGCAGAAGAAAATAACCTACAAAGGAACCCCCATAAGGCTATCAGCAGATTTCTCAGGAGAGATCTTGCAGGCTAGAAGAGATTGGAATGAAATATTCAAAACTCTGAAGGACAAAAACCTGAAGCCAAGAATACTCTACCCAGTGAAAATATCCTTCAAATACGATGGAGAAATAAAAACTTTCCCAGATAAACAAAAGTTAAGGGAGTTCATTGCCACAGACCTCCTCTTCAAGAAATGCTCAGGAAGAACCTCATACCTGAAAAATCAAAGAAAGGAAAGGGGTTACAAAATCCAGAACAAAGGAGATAAGCAGAAGGACAAGAACAGAAAGTAGCTGCTCTCCATCAGAACAGGTTAGCAAAAGTTAAATAAAATATTAAAGATAAATGGAACGGAAAACACCAAGAATAAATATAACCTAGTCATTTTAACCACGAACTCACAACACAAAAGGAAGAGGAAAAAAAAAAAATCTGACAATAACAACCTAGAAGGGGAAGAGAAAAGGGATGGAAAGTTTTAATTTAAGGAAATAAGAGGCTATCAGAATAAGGACTATCTCATCTACGAGATGTGTTATACAAACCACCTGGTAACCACGAAACAAATAACAAGAATAAAGACACAAATTACAAATAAGAAGAAAGCCAATACAGAAATTTACCTACTTGAATTAGGAATCCAAAAATCATGGGATGAGAAACAAAGGCAATGCAAAAGAACCAGAAAACAAGTGATAAAATGGCAGCAGTAGGCCCCCACGTTTCAATAATCACTCTAAATGTAAATGGATTGAACTCTCCAATCAAAAGACACAGAGTGGCAGGATGGATTAAAGAACAAGATCCAACAATATGCTGCCTACAGGAAACACACCTCAGCCCCAAAGACAGAGACTCAGAGTGAAGGGATGGAGAACAATACTCCAAGCCAATAATGAACAAAAGAAAGCAGGTGTTGCCATACTTATATCAGACAAAGTAGACTTCAAAGCAAAACAGATAAAGAAAGACAAAGAGGGGCAGTATATAATGATAAAAGGGACACTCCACCAAGATGACATAACACTTATAAATATATACACACCCAACACAGGAGCACCAAAATTTGTGAAGAAACTATTAACAAAACTAAAAGGAGACATCAACAATACAATAATAGTAGGGGACCTCAATACCCCATTAACACCAATGGATAGATCATCCAGACAGAAAATCAACAAGGAAATTATAGAATTAAATGAAAAATTAGACTAGATGGACCTGATAGATATATATAGAACATTTCATCCAAAAACAGCAGGTTACACATTCTTCTCAAGCGTGCATGGAACATTCTCAAGGATAGACCGTATCTTGGGAAACAAAACAAGCGTCAATAAATTCAAGAGGGTTGAAATAATATCGAGCATCTTTTCGGATCATAATGCTATGAAACTAGAAATGAACTACAAGATAAAGCTGGGAAAGGGGCAAAAATGTGGAGACTAGACAACATGCTACTGAACAATGGATTATTGAAGAAATTAAAGAAGAAATCAAATATTATCTGGAGACAAATGAAAATGAAAACACACCATACCAACTTATTTGGGACACAGCAAAGGCAGTCCTAAGAGGGAAATTCATTGCAATACAGGCTCACCTCGATAATCAAGAAAAATCTTACATAAACAACCTCAAATGACACCTAACAGAATTAGAAAAAGACGAACAAACAAAGCCCAAAGTCAGTAGAAGGAGGGAAATAATAAACATTAGACCAGAAAAAATGATATTGAAACAAAAAAGACAGTAGAAAGGATCAATGAAACAAAGAGTTGGTTCTTCGAAAAAATTAACAAAATCGATAAACCCTTAGCCAGACTCACTAAGAAAAAAAGAGAGAAGTCTCAAATAAATAAAATTAGAAATGAGAGAGGAGAAATCACAACAGATACCGAAGAAATACACAGGATCATAAGAGAATACTATGAAAAACTATATGCCAACAAATTGAACAACCTAGAAGAAATGGATAAATTCCTAGACTCATACAACCTCCTCAAACTGAATCAGGAAGAAACAGAGAATCTGAATAGACCAATCACAAGTAAAGAAATAGAAACAGTAATCAAAACCCTCCCCAAAAATAAGAGTCCAGGACCAGACGGCTTCTCTGGAGAATTCTACCAAACATTCAAATAAGATTTAATACCTATCCTTCTCAAAGTATTCCAGAAAATTGAGGAAGATGGAGCACTCCCTAACACATTCTAT